GCCAAAGGGCATCGCTAAAACCCAAAACTGTCGACAGATGAGTTTTCCTGGCACAAAATCTGTAAAATGTTCAGTAGTTAGCCTGGTTGTGTTCTCATTTTTTTTTTTACATTTGCACTTAAAAGATGCACTGGCAAAAGGATGTAATCAAGTTTGAGTTCAGTCTGTTTACATGTAATTTGCTCAAAGTTCAAGATGATGGTTGTACAGGAGTACACAAGCACTTTAAATTCTGTCTGTAGAAACTGAATTTAAAGAGCAAGTTGATCTATTGTTATAATTGCCCTTTTCTGTTTACATTTATTTGCACAGCTTTGATTTCTGTTTTGTTATGAATGAAAAAAAGAGCATAATTTTATTTGAGGAGGATTATTATTTAACATTTGCCAGTAGGTTATTTTTGAGCCATTTATACTGTTTCAACTGTTTAATAAATGTGTCTGCGTGGCAGACAAAGATAAATCTTTGATTCAACAGTATTTTTCTTTTATTACTTTAAAAGAAAAAATATTGAGATATATATCGTATATCGCCATTCAACTTAAAAATATCGAGATATTATTTTTGGTTCATATCGCCCAGCCCTATACGCTCCCATCCAAACAACGTTGTTTTCAGGAAAGGCCTTGCAGATTTCAACATGACAGTGTTAAACAGAGTCCTGAACCGGCCTGCCTGCAGATCAGTAAATTCTGAACAGCTAGTTTCCTCCATCAAACCAGAATGGGACATTCCCACCAAAAACTGCAACAGCTTGTCTCCTAAAGTCCTAACCATTTTACAGACTGTTCAGACTGTTAGTAAAAGAAGAGGGGAAGCTTCACAGAAAGAACGATGGACCTGGAACAACTTTAAAGGGAAGTGTTGCTGCCTCCTGCTGCTGCCACCCAACCGAAAACAGCTCCAGTTTTTGTTGTCTCATGGCCAGCATCTGCCATAAAATTCTAAATACCCTTATTTTGTCCTAAAAATTTCCAATCACTTGCTATATTTATATTGTTCTATTGTAAATAAAGTATGAGCTTCTAAGATTGGCAAATTATTACATTTAGTTTTTTATATATATTTAACACAACATCCCAACTTTTTCAGATTTGGGGTTGTATAAATACGGTATAGGGAAAGGCACACATTTGCCTCAACACTCATTTGCCCCACTCTGGATCTTGAGCAAGGCCCGTAACCTCCCATCTGCTCCCTTGGGCACCTAAGGCTTTAGCAGCCCCCTGCTCCAGTGGTAGCCCACTGGTCTCTGGGTGAGTCAGATTCAGGAAGGGTATCCAGTGTAAAAGTAAATGTTAATATCTTGTGCAGGATCACTCACTTTAGTGACCCTTTGAGAAAAGAAGCAACCAGTTCTCATTGTGGAGCAGCTAAGTTTAAAATGTGGTATGCATGTATTTATCACTTTTATTTCGAGGCTTTTTGTTAAAAATAAGCCAGACATTGCTGCAGTGCCTCGTAATTTAAATATTGTAAAACGAAACGTCTATAAACTGTGTGAACTATCGCCTAATAAATATAAAACAGTAGCTTATTATTTATTTAACGAGGTAAACAGATAAAGACAGGCAGAGATTTATGGTCACGGCTTTTTAACACAATCATCGGACAAACTCACCAGCTTCGTGGCCCGGTACGGCCCAGGACCAATAACTTTACCTTCCATTCCACCACCGAAAACTCCTCTCAGTTTTATAAAAACATTAAGCTACAACACTTTTAAAGTTACACAGAAGAAGCTGCGGAGAAATTCACGTATGAACAGAGACGTTGCTGCCAACTTTGAAAATTGTGTGTTATGTTATTTCACGAACGTGATTGGACAAGGGGCTGGTCACATGACCAGAAAATGAGGTACGTCAGCACTGACCTGCCAGGAGGTGTATGGCAGGCCATTTTAACATAAAATCAACTTCACCACACTTGTTTATTTTTATTTATTTACTGTTGTTTAACCAGGCAAATCTTACGTTCTAGACTTCTGAAATTGACATACACATACATTATATATGTATGTGTACATATCAGTGGCGGATGCTGGTCTTTCAAGGAGCGGAAGCTCAGTTTCGGCCTACATAATAAAATGCGTGGGTTATAAATTCTAAATTCTACCCTCCATTCCTTTTCAAGAAAACGATAATTATTCATTTCATTTCAAAAAACAAAACATTACATACAACAACATAATATAAACAAAAATATACACACCAGTGGTGGATGCTGATCTTTCAACAAGAGGAAGCTCAGTTTCGGCCTA